TATTTGAATTATATATATATATATATATATATATATATATATATATATATATATATATATATATATTATAGTGTGTGTGCAATTTGCACTAAATTCTGACAATTGACAAGTCAACCTACAAGAGTGTGGTGCATATGTAAGCAATGTAAGAGTTTAATGCTGTTTAATGCAAAAATACCTTAAAAAATATATATTTTTTTAAATTAAGAACAAAAAATGTTACGTTTTTCTTAGTAAGGTGGTCGTGGGGATTTTCAAAGAAAAAAATTGACTAGAGTCCTATGCAGATATATTTTCAAAGAAAAGAGGTAGATGAAAGGAATTTCAACAACTGCTACAAATTTATTTCAATCTTCTTGCAACATTTATGCCTACCGGAAATGAAATGATCATCATATGTAGACACACACATTATAGTAATAATACATTTTTATTTTAAAACAGCAATAATACTTAAATAAATTGATTGGTCCCCTCAAAAAAGGAAAAAAAAAAAAAAAACTACATGCACATCAAAAAGTCAGGGATCAGTTTGAACGTTGTATTTATATTGTAAACAGGACACTCCCATCTAAAATAATAGAAAATATTTTTTGATTCTGAGAAATTGCTTGAGTAGAGGAAGTTGTTCTGAATGCTAGGCAACAAAAATTAGTCGTGAAAATATTTTTATCTAAGAAATTACTAATTAATTTTCATGTTGGAAGATAAAGGATCGTTTTTTGGGTTTTTTTTTTATTTCAATAGTTATTTTTAAAATAAAAATATGCTGAAAAACAAAAAGCTTCATATTTTCTATAATGTGCACTAATACGAAAATTCCGTTCTTTCCACATCTCTAAGCTAATGTAAGGTTTGATTTCTTTTCTTTAAAATATTCCACTCCAATGTATCATTGATGATAATTCTAGTCATCACATGTTATTTGTCAATAAAAATATTTGATTTTAAAGCTTTTTGTTTATTTTATCAACTTTAAAAAAAATTACGTTAATATTACTTTAAAAAAAACAAACAAAAAAAACCAAATAGATAAAATGAAATTTCGCAAATTCTAAAAAAATTGCCGCGGTGCCCTCATTTTTAAGGGGTCCACCAAGGCAATTTTTGCCTGCCCCTATAATGTTAAAAACCAATGATTACCAACGTGGGGCGCATGGTAATATTTTAATATGCGTATGATGTGCACCCTTCAGCTTACTATACCAAGAGAATAAGGGGGCAATTCGGGAATGAGTTATTACCAGTGAACTGTTTTCTAGCGAACTCAAATTTCATTTTGCATTATTATTTCATGATTAAAATGATCAAAGTATATTACAGAATAATGTTTCATTCAAATATTTTATATTTCTGCCTTTCAGTTCTCCATGTTTTGAAACTATAACTGTCTTTTTGTTTCTTTTAGTTTTTCTCTTTCATGGACGCTTGAGGCTTGTTTAAAGACCAAGTTAATGGTCTTTTAAACTTCCTTCACTTGAATTGCAGTAAAATTTTGAATATGTAAGAATTAAGTATTACAGAGGGGTGGGTACCAGCATTTTAGAAATACCAAAGTGTGGCATGAAATAAAATCGGTTGGGAACCACTGAGCTAAAAACTCATTCATGGATATCGAATAGGTGGGGGTTGAAACAGACTCCCAATGTTTTCAAAGTTTTCTCAGTATATACAATTCGTTCATTAACCACTTAAAATTTCGTTTGAATCAGTTAATTCCCTGATTTTTGCCAAATATTTTTAAAATTTAAACAGGGGTTAGTGAATTCTTGCTTCATTTCGGAAAAAAAAGCATCCATTTTAGTACCTAATTAATACTGCTATATAAAAACAAATGAATGGAAATAAAGTCACAACTGACAGAAAAGTCACAATTTTGATTAGCAAAATGTTACAATGAAATAATGAAACAAGTATCTTTTTTAACTGACAGTACAATTTGTCCTTGCATGTTAAACACGATTAACATCTTTTTAGACAAAGTAATTTAAATTATAATAATAAATAATATTTATTACTTTGTTTTTTAGCCTGTAAATGACAGACATTGATAATTAAATTATTGTCAATGTGTCATTTATTGGCTGTAAGTGTAAAAACACGAACAACTTCCTCCAGTATAAAGGAAGTAAACACTAAACAGTAACTCAGTAATTACTTACATTATTCTTCATCGTCATTGCCATATTCACAACGTTTCGACCGTTGTACGTTCCGATCTTCAGGTGATTGGAATTTTTATAAGTCCCAGAAATACATACACAGATGTCCTCAAGCCCCAGCGGATAGGCGTTGGTTAGATCCAGTGACTAGACCCAAAGAGTTGTGAGTTCAATACCAAGCTACAACAATGGTGAACCAAAAGCTTGGAGAGTTGAGTTAAAGGGAAAATAACTGAGACATCCGGAAGAGGCATGGTACGTGGAAATAGAACAATCTACCCCGGTGGACGAAATAAAGGGTTCGGTTCAAAATTCCAATCACCTGAACGAGGCCGGAGCGTACAACGGCCGAAACGTTATGGCAATGAAGATGAGGATAAAAGTCTGAATAATAAATAATGTAACTGATCATAATACCTCATCTCAGAGATATAGTCAGTAACTCCGTAATCTTCGATTTTTTTTTTTTAATTAAAAATGAATGACGCGATTATAAAAGTAACTAATACATAAGATTTCATAAAAAGGTTGTAGTTGTATTCTAGAACAAGACCTGACAACAATTATTAACTACGCGTAGCTTAGCTGTGGCACAAGGCTGCAAGTACGGAGTACGGAGCACCCAGCAATTGAACTCACTACTCACTCAGTCATAATTGATCTCTAGTGAGACAAACTAGCTAACCATTACCACGTACATATCGCCACTAAATGGCCGGAAAAAAAAAACTAAAAACAAAAAAACAAACAAAAGTGTGCTAGCTAGCATGATGAAAAAAGGCTCCAAACTTAATAAAAAAGAAGTTTTATCGTCAAAACGATTATGTTATTGTTAAGGGGAAAGATCAAAATATTTTTGATTATTTTATTAAATTTTTTCATCCTTTCTAGCACGTTCGAAATTTTAGTTAAAAATCTTTTTTTTTTTTTTACTACAGCGGTCGACTTATAGCGCCTTTTTCAGCACATCAGTGCTCGAGTTTAAATACACACACAAAAACTAAAAAACATCGAAATGCGTGTGCGTTTTCGATAAATGAAAGGAAAAGAGTTACCGACAGTTTTTAGAACTTTAAAACAAATCAGGAAATATTCCATTTAAATTAAATTTTCAATAGTTATTTATTAATGAATGAATAAATAAAAAGTGTTATTGAATACCGAACGTCCTTACCTTTAAAAGTTCATGAAAATAGTTTTTTTAACTTTTTATTTGGTCAGTACTCCATCCACTTTTGTTTTTCAATCAGGATTAGCATTTTTTTTTTTTTTTAAATTTGTAGGGTTGAGTCGCGATTTTTTTTTTTTAAATAAATAAAACAAAAAACCATGCAGTTTCAATCGATCTTCTATGTGCCGTGTCTCTTCAGGACGCAGGAAACCATGGTTCTCTACAACTTCCTGTCCTTTTTATTTTGTTACAAAATACAAGCTACAAAATTTTTGTAGCTTGTCTTTCTGCTATAAAATCCCTATTCTGCCAACCATAATTTCTTTTTTTAAAATTTTACAGAAGAGGATCGTTAGGTAGGTTGCTGTACGGTATTTATCTTTTTATTCCTCTTCTTAGGCCATAAGATAACACAATAAAGCTCAAATAAATACTTTTTTGTTGTTGAGAGGTGATGCGGTATTAAAAAAAACAAAAACAAACTGTAAACACTACAGTATTTTCTCTTATAGTTGAGACGCAATCCTAAGGAAATATCTCCGATAACCAACGGAAAATTGAATTCTTTATTCAATTTTTTCGTTGATTGGGACAGGCAGTTAAAAAGATGCCTTCTAAAAATTTACGAGTTTTGAGGAGTGCCGTAAATAATATTTTTCTTACAAAAAAACAAAGACTGTCTGCACCCAGAGAAAAATAGTTTTTTTTTTTTTTTCCTTTTATGATTTATTTTTATGCCACAAGGCACGAACTAAATAACCGACAGGAGGATTTTAACATTATTACTTGTTGAGCTGCGCCATGTACAACTTTTTAATGTGTTGGTTGCTACTGTTTGGAGAGTAACAAGATTTTCAGGTAGTTGCCAAAATATTCTGCATGTTCGTAGCAAGTAAGCTTTTATTATACTTTAACTTTAGTGATGCTACTAGTGCTAATAATATCATTAGGAAATAATGGAAATGTTTAATTTTAGAAGCGTAGAGATATGACAAAGAAAGTGTCTGACCCGGTAGTGCCTTAGTTAATAAAAACTTTTTTTTTAGTAGTAGATAACATTTCATTCACAAAAATTAGTAATTTTTAAGGCATCGTCGAAATATTTTGTTAATAAAATAATGAATGTTTGAAATCAATAACATTTTTGAGAGCAAACACAAAATGAAACAAAAAGGGACAAATAAAATAATGCTAGTTCATAGACTAGAGTTTTTTTGGACTGAAATTAAAAAATATATCGATCTTTTTATAAGTTGTAAAAATTAATAATAATAAAAAAAAAAAAATAAGTTATACATTTAAATATGCGACAACACCCCAACAAAAGAAAAATGAAATCAACACTTATTGTGAGTCCTTAAATTTATTTTTTTAAAGTAGAAAACAAAAGGTAAGGCAATCTTGAATCCGAAACAATAAACTAAAAAGTAAACACCTATTGAATACCTGGAAAAATTCAGTAGCGGGTCAAAAATTGTGCTCGTCTCTAGACGTTTAAAAAAAAAAAAAAAAAAACAAACAAAAAAACGCTAAGTTATTAATTAAAAGACGAATTAAAACATTTTTTCTTTTTACATAAAATTTGTTAAGGTGACCGACAAAAAGAAAAGAAAAGTGAATAAACAATTAAAAAGAAAGAATTAGATAAAGTTTTTTTAGTAGCTTACCTGTCACCTCTATCTGGCTGGTCAAAATGTCTTTAAAAATGCTGATCACACCCAACACACTTAAAGTAAAACAACACACACACACAAAAAGCAACTCAATCCGTATCACATCTCAATTTAAGTTAAGTAAAAAAAAAAAGTAACAAGCATGTTTTTTTTTTTCGTTCTCCTCAGGTGGTTTGAGTTTTTTTTACGCAATATTTGCTTTCAGTACAACACAAATGGTTAGGCTTCTTTTTTTTTTTTACTTACAAAGTGAGGGGAAAACATGAAAGAGACAAGAAGAGCAACCGACCAACAAGTGTAAAACTAATTCTTCTTTTCTTCTTTTCAAATAATCAGTTTCTTTTTTTTTTCTGTGACATTTTATTTTATCAACTTTCTTACCGTTATCGTAAGAATTAAATTAATTATCTAAAAACAAGCATTTTCCATACTTTCTAAAGGCGTATCGAGAAAGCGTCTATTTTTTTTTAAAAGTAACTAATTGAAAAATAAGATTGCTGATGAAAATTAGGAACAAAGAATTTTAGTTATCAATGTGAAAAAGGGATTTTATTCTTTGAGAAATCTCAGGGCTGAAGAATGTGTCGGCCGAAATGTTAACAAGAGGCTCATTTGTCTGAGCTAAAACGAAAATTTTCTTCTAAATTATCGTTAAAATATAAAAAAGAGCTTTATGGAGGAAACGATTTCTTGCGAAATGAGCTGGACAATACTATCATTGGTAATCTCATTTTCGGTACTTGTTTCGATAGGTAGGTAGACAATCTGAAGCAGAATGAATCATGTTACAGTTAAAAAAAAAAATCACCTTTGTGTTCTATTTTAGTGTTATGGAATTTTCCAACTATTGTCGAAACGAACGAAGTATTTTGTACTTTCTGAGCGCGTGTTTTTTTTTTCAGTATTAAACATCGAAGAATAACGAAGAGACGGTAACAAAAATGGTTTTTAAGTAGTTGTAATAAAATGAAAAGGAATGAAAAGAATTTTTGTTTGAAATAAATAGGTTGAAATGAGTAAAAATGCAGAAAGAGAAAAAGACTACGAAGTCTGGTATTTTCTTTGAAGAAAATAAAGTCTAGCGATCAGTTACGTGTTTCTCTTTCTCTTAGAGAAAGACCTTGTAAAAGAAAGAAACGGGTAGCTGTATTTTCAAATGAGAGAAGGCAGTGAATGTGTGTGAGTCAGAACGATATTGTGCTCGAGACAAAAACTTGTTGAGACAGATGTCTGCGGTTAACACACACAGATAAACGAACGTTGCACCGAAAATAATACATCCTACTTTATAGAATTCAGGTAAAAAAGAAACGGGGCAAAGTTAGCACACAGCCGACAAAATCTTAGCCAATTATCCCATAAAGTGGACAAAACCCCAGTCTCATAAATTTAAAATTCAAGGATTTTGTAATTCAAATATTAACGTCAAATTGAGACTTTCTTCACTAAAGCCGGGCATTGTGCCTTGTCTCTTTAAGACGTAGACGATCATGGCTCTCCATTTCTTCCTGTCTCTTGCAGCTCTCAATAAGTTTTGTCTTTTTGTTATTCATCCCAGACCCTTTTCTCTCATCCATTTGCTTACAAGCCCGTTAAGTATGTCACGCGTTGCGTTTCTTTGTCCCTCTTTCCCTCTATCCGCCCTGTGAGTATCAGATTTTCCAAGCTTTCCTTTCTCATTACGTGTCTCAGAAATTTTAGCTGCCTTTAGTTTCCCCTTTGCATCCTCTACCTGTTGCAAATTCGGTAGGAATAAGTAGGAGATATACGTCACTCGTATATTCAAGAGTTGGAAAAAGAGTGTTTTACAGTTATTGGCTCAGCTTAGCTTCGTCTGGCACAAGTTCGCAACATTAGAGCATCCATATGAGGAATAAACTCTCTACGTATAAACAGCAGTCGGCCTTTCTTTTTTTTTTTTAGGAATCGCTCTATGGCAGGTGAACAGTTTATAAAGTTTAGCTTGGTAAAAGATAGGATCACGCATGTACTTTTCGATGACCATGGTAAAAGAATGAAAAGCATAGCATGGATCGTTTTGATTGATTTGTTTTTTACGGTTTATCAACCTTTTTTAAGTTATTTTTAAAAAAATAATTCCACTCCATGCAAGGCAATAAAGCCCCTAAAACTCAATGGATTACTAAGTGTTAGAAAATATGGGATAAATAGACAACAACATTATTAAGGGTTGAGAGCAATAAAAGAACAAGAATTAACGATTGACATTGCATTTAAATTTTTGAAGATCAAAGTTAACTGTGAAGCAAGAAGCTGGAAGAAAGTTCCACAAGTGAGAAGTGCGATAGAAGAAACTGTTAGCATAGAACTTACGGTTACATCGAGCCATTTCAACTGCAAAATCATGAGACCTTGCCTCCAATCTAGTACCGAACTTAAATTCATAAAGTTTACGTACCATATAAGAAAGTTCATCAGAACAATTAGCATGAAATTATTTACAGAGAAGACACAGGGAAGCTAAATTACGACGGTGGGAAAGTGACTGAAGCCGAGATGCCAGGTCAGAACCAATAACATTGCAAATTCTTATTTGGATTTATCAATGTAAAGCCAGAAAACATTTTTAGAATGTAAGAATTATTTTTTAGATAATAATAATTTTACTGACACAAGTCCTACTAATTAACCCATATCTGGGGGAGAAAAGGTAGATGCATAACTTTCCTAAGGATATTTGCACGTAAGTGAATATAACGAACCCAACTGGAATTGGATCTCGGCTTTTCATTTCCGAGACGTTATCCATTCTTTACAGCACCTGGTATTCCCAAGCGGTCACCCGTCTAGGCAGTGACTAGATTCGACGCTGCTTAACTCCGGTGATCGTACGGGAACCAATGTTTCAAGGTGATATGGCCGTAAGCCTAGAATTGTAGAGATTGGGAATCCGTTCCACAACTTAACAGTCCTGGAGAAGAAGCAGTACAAATGAAACTTTTCCTTACGAATGGAATACAAGGGAAACGGGGATGAGTCGAATGTGAGTGTAGCATGGTGGGTCTTAGCTGTAAGATCTGAACCGGTTGAAGTAAGGAATTTAACTCGTCTGAACATCTACTACGAAAATAACGATAGAGTAGCAAGATGTTGGCAATGTTTCCTCCGTCGGAAAGGGTTGTATGATGGAAAGTAATTCATCACTCACAGGTCCGCATAAATGCTTTTGAAATCTGTCAAGGTTATAAAGTGAGGATTAAGAAGCTCGAGCCCAGATATGCTAGCAATACTTCACTTTTGGTCTGTTCTGAATCTTATAAAGCGAAAGCATGGCAGGTGGAGTCAGATATTTTCTGGTACACAGCTGATTGATATATCATTGTATTTAATTCCTAAAGATTATATTGAATCAATTGCTAGATCTACTGCTAGGAAAGTTGGTTCACTGTGTCGTGTTAGACAACTTTATCTCTCCAGGATATATCTTGAATATTTATAAATCTACCATTCATCCATGGTTTGAATATTACTGCCACATCTGGTCTGGTGCTCCTCCTATATATTTAGAGATTCTTGATAAAATCCAAAGAAGAATCTGCAATTGTATTGGTCCTGACCTAGCATCTCGTCTTCAGTCACTTTCCCACCGCCGTAATGTAGCTTCCTTATATCTTTTCTATAAATAATTTCATGGTAATTGTTCTGATGAACAATTCTATGGTACCTGGACATTATGAATTTAAGTGCAGTACTAGATTGGCGGCAAGGTCTCATCATTTCACTGTTGAAATAGCTAGGTGTAATCGGGAGTTCTATACCAACAGCTACTTTTCTAGCACTTGTCGCCTGTGGAACTCTTTTCCGGCTTCTTGCTTCCCAGCAAATTCCGATCTTCAAAAATCTAAATGCAATGTCAATCGTTATCGTTTGGATTAATTCCTGTTCTTTTATTGCTCTCTCTCTCTCCCCCCCCAATACTGTTTTTCTTTTTCTCGTATTCTTTAATACTCTTTCTGTCTTAGTGGCTTTATTACCTCGATTGGGATGAAATGATTAAAAAAATTGCAAAGATGCAAAATTTCTACAGATCATAGTAGTTCTTGTGGATTTCATGTTTTTTACCGATTTATAGTTAGCAAGTTTCTCTTGTTAGCTCAATTACGACTGAGTAGTGAGTTTGATCCACACTAGGTGCCCCATACATTTGGCATTGTATCACATCTAATCTACGCGAAGAAGATCACCATAAGGCACATCACGTGGTGTAATGGCTAGCAAGCTTCTCTCGTTAACCCAATTGCGAGTGAGTAGTGAGTTCGATACTCGTTAGGTGCCCTATACTTTCGGGCCTTGTGCTACATCTAAGCTACGCTTAGAAAATCATAGGCACTTCGACATGATGTAATGGTTAGAAAGCTTGTCTCGCTAGATCAGTTACGACTGAGCAGTGAGTTTGATCCTCACCGAGTGCCACATACTTTTGGCGTTGAGCCACATCTACTCATAGAAGATCACCATAGGTCACTTCGACGTGGTGTAATGGTTAGCCAGCTTCTCGTTAGCTCAATTACGACTGAGTAGTGAGTTCGATCCTCGCTAGGCACCCATTCTTTCTCTCTCTCTCTTTAATAATGTTTTTCTTGCATTGTTTAATACTTTTTCTGTCTTAGTGGCTTTATTGCCTCGATTGGAGTGAAATGATTAAAAAATTGCAACGATGCGCACTTTTTACAGATTATAATAGTTATTGTAGATTTCATGTTTATTAATGGGAAATCCTAATTAATTCTGCAATTGATATTTCCTTTTCAGTGTTTCATGTTGTCATGGAAGTAAAATTTGCGTGACTCATCAAATGGAGGACAATTGACGGCTAAGGTGTGTCGGAGAGGCAAATGGCGACACTTGGTAAATAAGCACACGACGCTAAGTGCTGTAGAATGTTTGATGTCGATGTTAAGCACATTTAGTGTCATCAAATGACAAAACCTGTTTGTCAACACTTTGTTTCCGTTCTTTTGCACCCTAGACTCTGAAAGTGCCTGCAAGTAAACATGACGCGGTCATACCATCTCTGAAAGTGCCTGGGGTTGGGCCCACCGTCGTCATCATCATTATCAATCCTATGACCAGGTGTGGTCGTAGAATCGACGCGCTGCTAAGAACTTGACCAGCTTCCTTCATATATCTCGGTTACGTGCCAATGTTTGAGTCTCTGCGAATGATCCTCCAGTCCACCGTTGTCAGTTCATTTTTTGCCTCTGGGCACGTCAACGTGGTGTAATGGTTAACAAGCTTCTCTCGTTAGATCAATTACAAACGAGTAGTGAGTTCGATCCTTATTGGGTGCCCTATACTTTGGGCCTTGTGCCACATCTAATCAACGCGTAGAAGATCACCACAGGGCACTTCGACGTGATGTAATGGTTAGCAAACTTCTCTCGTTAGCTCAATTACGAGTGAGTAGTGAGTTTGATACTCGTTAGGTGCCCCATACTTTCGCGCCTCGTGCCACAGCTAAGCTACTCTTAGAAAATCATTATTAGATTAGCTAGGTTTAGGATATTCAGTGACGACCACCTCACTCCACTTCCCCTTCGGCCTTGTGCCAGAATTGTATATTTAATATAATAAATATATAGTTCATTTTTTCCCTCTCTCTGCCTCTTCTTCTTTTGTCTATGCTAGTATCTTGTAGGAATTTTTTTTTACAATGAGAGTTACCCTTTACAAGGTCCGGGGACCACTCCAGGTAGAGGGTTACATTGGGAGACCATTTGTGTGTATAGATGATGCAGATAATGATTAAGCCTAGCCTACAATCTTTAGTGATCAGGAAAACATCCAGTTGGGAGTCGATTCCACAGGGCAGTGGTTCACGGGAAGAGGCTGCTCGAGTGGAACTTACTTCTCACCGATGAAGGGATGTGGTTGGTTTGCTACTGTGTAAGTAGCATTGTGCGTTCTTGCCATGAAGGTTTGCCTTGGCGGGGGCCAGGAAATGTACTTTGTCCGAGCACTTTCCATATTAGAATCTTGTAGGAGTGGAAGGACTGTTGCCTCTTATGATGCTGCTCTATAATCTCTGAAAGTGATCGCAAATAAAAATGACCGGATTTGGGGGCCACCTTCCATCACCTTAATCAAAGCGGGAGTACCACTAGCACGCAAGAGGTTACAGAGGGTGAGAGCAAGAGTAAAGAGGCGTGTTTGAGAAAAGGATAAAGAGAAGGACGGGGAACAAGATCAAGGTATCAGAAAAATAGATATCAACATATGCATCAACTTGGTAACTTTCTTTCTTTCTTTAATAAGGATACTAAGGAAATTGTTTGTAAATATGAGAGGATATATTTTTTTCTAAGACAAAATTCTTTTTTTTTTGACATATGAACATTCCAAACCTAGTTAACTCCCCTGACGTTTACATCGTGAAACTTTAGCTCGTGTAGTACATAACATTAGAGTTTTTCATATCACAGTTAAAAAATTTAACATTCAGATGAACACAAAAATTTTGTCTTAGAAAAAGACAACACTCTGATGATGACATTATGTTAATATCGAAAGTACTCAGAATAAATGAATATGTATCAACATAGTAATTTTCTCTCTTCCTTTAATAAAGATACTAAGTAGCATGTCCGTGAATATGAGAGGATCCTATTGAAAATAAGTAAACCAAATATGTCTAAATTATTCCATGAGACATATCTTAATGAAAACATGCTAACAAAATATACGCAATATATATATATATATATATATATATATATATATATATATATATATATATAAATCTCAAATACTAATATTCCATGGTTATAATTTATTACATTGGAATCGTAATCACAATCCAATTCATCAGACCTATAATTTAAAAAAAAAAAACACAAAAAATGGACATTGAGCTCTACCTGAATTCTATCCTCTTGGAAATTTTAATATATATATATATATATATATATATATATATACCATAATGTATATATATATATATATATATAACTTTCTCACCGCCAGTCCAAGAAAGACCTTTGTGTCACTACCTCACAAAAAGGGGAAAACATTAATTTATTTTAATAATATGTAGAAATATCCACTCTTTGCCTAAAAAAAGTCGCGAGACCCGAAACACGTGTTGTAAAATTATGGAAATTAAAGCATAATATATACTTTAAAAAGAAATCCCCATTGCAATCAAAATGTTTGTATACACTTTTCTCTCGTTGGAACAACTATAACCACTTCAATATATATATATATATATATATATATATATATATATATATATATATATATATATATATATATATATTAAATTTGCTGAATCTGTTTAGTAAATAATTTAATATATTTATAAAATTTATTTGCAGTGTATTTCTATAATAAAATATTATGATAAGATTGATAGATAGATTGATAGTATGAATAGACTTAGGTAAACATAGATATATATGAATAGATATAGATACGAATGGAATTTGATAGAAAATTTGCTGAATTTGTTAAATATGATATGAATAAGATCCTTGCCATTAAAAGTGATCAGTGCAGAATACATAGATAGAAAGATAGATACATATGAATAGACCTAGACAGATAGATGCATATGTCCCAGTACAAATAGAGCTGTCTACGGAGATGACATAATTACCTACACAATGGTACAGAAACGGTTTTCCTCGTTTCAAGAGGAAAGGTTCGAACTCACGGTCTCTTCGCGTTCTGGCCGACCTGTTCAGTTTGATAAGAACCAACTGCACGCGATGATTAAAGAATAACTGTGCCAGACCTCTAGGGAATTGGCAAGCTCTCATCTTCATTCAGTGGATAAGGTCCAGAAACACGGCCCATGGATGCCACACGCGTTGACCGAGAGAAAAAAAAACTCCAACGCTCCTTCATTACCGACAGTTTAATTGCACGACACCAGGCTAATCGTGGATATAAGGAAAGAGCTTTATTGGGAAATTTTACCACACTCACCGTATTCTTTTGATTTAGCGCTTTCAGACTAACGCCTTTTCATTTGCTTTTTAATTATTTGAGGGGTGTTTCGTTCAACAACGACGTGGAGCTTAAAACGTGGCTTAATTTTTCGAATTAAAGCCTAGTGATTTCTATCGTCGAGGCATGAAACAGTTAGTGGATTGTTGGCAGGAGGAATAAATAAAGTGAAATACATTGTTGAAAGATTCATCAGAACTATTGATAAATGATAAGTAAAATGTAAATTATTCATTACTCTGAACTGTATAAGAATGTTGTCAGTACGCTTGTTGCTTTCAGGGATATACCTCTGGTACCTCATAAACGATGATTTAGTCTGCCAAAAGCAACAGTTGGAGATGCGATTGACAATTTCATCTTCCATGAATTCAGAGTGGTTCACCTTGCTGTCAAGATGAGGTAGAGAGTTCACATACTTTAGATCCTTGCCATTAACAAGGATGAATGTAGAATGCATAGATAAATAGATAGATATGAATAGACTCAGACAGGTAGATAGATAGATAGATAGATAGATATGAATAGACTTAGATAGATAGATAGATAGATAGATATGAATAGACTTAGATAGATAGATAGATAGATAGATAGATAGATATGAATAGACTTAGATAGATATCTAAAGGTGTTCATATACTTCAGATCTTTGCCATTAACTGTGATGAGGACAGAATACATAGATAAATAAATAGATAGATAGGAATAGAGTTAGACAGACAGGCAGATAGATAGATAGATAGATATGAACAGATTTAGGTGTATAGATACATAGATATGAATAGACTTACATATCTAAGGGAGTTCATATACTTCATATCCTTGCCATTAACAGTGATGAGTGCAGAATACATAGATAAATAGATATGAGAAAACTTAGACATGAAAAGACCGAGATAGATAGATAGATAGATAGATAGATAGATAGATAGATAGATAGATAGATATGAACAAACTGGGATAGATAGATAGATAGATAGATAGATAGATAGATAGATGAGATAATGAACAGACAGAGATAGATAGATAGATGAATTAAGAAACAGAATAGATAGATAGATAGATAGATAGATAGATAGATAGATAGATAATGAACAGACAGAGATAGATAGATAGATAGATAGATATGAACAAACAGGATAGATAGATAGATAGATAGATAGATAATGAACAGACAGAGATAGATAGATAGATAGATATGAACAAACAGGATAGATAGATAGATAGATAGATAATGAACAGACAGAGATAGATAGATAGATAGATATGAACAAACAGGATAGATAGATAGATAGATAGATAGATAGATAGATAGATAGATAATGAACAGACAGAGATAGATAGATAGATATGAACAAACAGGATAGATAGATAGATAGATAGATAGATAGATAGATAGATAGATAGATAGATAATAGATAGAAATAGAGAGATAGATAGATATAGATAGATATAGATATGAACAAACAAATATAGATAGATAGATAGATAGATAGATAGATAAATAGATAAAAGATAGATAGATAGATAGATAGATAGATAGATATGAACAAACAGGATAGATAGATAGATAGATAGATAGATAGATAGATAGATAGATAATGAACAGACAGAGATAGATAGATAGATAGATATGAACAAACAGGATAGATAGATAGATAGATAGATAGATAGATAGATAATGAACAGACAGAGATAGATAGATAGATAGATGATAGATTTTTAGGATACATAGATAGACAAACAGATGAGATAGATAGATAGATAGATAGATAGATAGATAGATAATGAACAGACAGGCTCAGATAGATAGATAGATATGAACAACAGGATAGATAGATAGATAGATAGATAGATAGATAGATAATGAACAGACAGAGATAGATAGATAGATATGAACAGACTGATATAGATAGATAGATAGATATAGATAAACATGCATAGACTTAAATAGAAATTGATGAGATGCGATAGATAGATAATATATACTGAGATAGCGAGATAGATCGATAGATATGAATAGAAATAGATAGATGCGAATGGATATTTGACAGAAAATCTACTCAAACTTTTTTATAATTTAATATATTTATACAATAAACTATTTGCAATGTATTTCTATAATAAAATAATTTCCAATGATTTTATTTTCTCTCTTTCTCTCTCTCTCTCTATATATATATATATATATATATATATATATATATATATATATATATATATATATATTTTTTCTTTTTTTTCAGATTTAGGGTTTGATTTTATTTGATGAAAATATCATTTTTCACAAATAATTGCCATAACTTAAATAACATGATCTAATAGAGAATTAAATAAATTTCATTCATTTACTGCTGACTTTGATCCCTCTTAATGAAACACCCTTTATATATATAAATTTAAATTCAAACTCAGCGTTGCGACCGCACGTTCCAAAATAATAACACATTTCTCATAGAATTTTTTCGGATTACATCTCTATTTTCGTTGTCCTCTTATTACCGAGAAGTAAAAAACAAAAACAAATCTTTTTCTATACCTGAGGATGTCTGTAGGACCAGACGAAAGCTTGTAAAAAATTAAAATGACCTTATGCAACTGGAATTTATAAACAGGGATCATATCATTCATATACAGGTTCGGGGTTGATGTATCTTATTTATATTGTTTGCGATGATGTATTCTCGCCATTTAAATCATTAACCTCTATATTTGTTTTTTGTATGAATGATTCATGAATTTATAAATTATAATTGCACCTTTTAATTGAAATTAAAATAACTGATCCAACGTGCAACTTTCGGATAATAAGTGTGACATTACTGTAATTATTGAACAATATAGTTCATGCCATATTCACGGAAAAAATACCAGTAAAAAAATTCTCTTATTGCTATATTTGTACAAAACGCACAACCTTAAAATTTAAATTCAAACTCAGCGTTGCGACCGCACGTTCCAAAACAATAACACATTTCTCATAGCATTTTTTTCGGATTACATTTCTATTTTCGTTGTCCTCTTATTACCGAGAAGTAAAAAAAAGAACAAAATCTATTTCCATACCTGATGATGTCTGTAGGAACAGACGAAAGCTTGTAAAAAATTAAAAAGACCTTATGCAACTGGAATTTATAAACAGGGATCATATCATTCATATACAGGTTCGGGGTTGGTGTATGTTATTTATATTGTTTGCGATGATGTATTCTCGCCATTTAAATCATTAATCTCTATATTTGTTTTTGTATGAATGAATTTGTATATATATATATATATATATATATATATAGAGAGAGAGAGAGAGAGATAGATAGAAAGATATGTCATAATTAGAGTGAATGAAAATATTCACAAATTTGCTTAATAAATATTATTAATAGTATCAAATCTGGCAGCCAAGTCGTTTGTTTCTGCGTACTTGTTTCTAGATTTACACTGAGCTCGGTTTTAATATTGAAACTCGATGTTTAAATGTATCCTAAACTCTGTGTCTAGATACACCCATCCTCTTTCTTCTCCTGAAATGGTAGCCAATCAAAACCTTCCTCACTTACTTTGGCATGAAGGGCCTCCAATTGGTCTATGTGATCATGCATTGAAGTTCTCATTGATGCCTGTGTTCTTAAGCCTTGAACCTCAGACACCAACTGTCCTTCCATCTCAGCAGCCTGTAAAGAAGACAGAAAAGAAGTTTTAGAAGTAATAATATGGAACATAAACATGTAAATACAGAGCGGCATAAATTTTCAGATACTTTATAAATACCATGCACATTACTCAAATATTCCCGCCATTTTTTTTTCATTACAACACCCAACACGTAAATGTATAATTCTTTTTTGACTACATTAAATTTAGTGTATATATATATATATATATATATATATATATATATATATATATATAAATATATAAATTTGAAAAAAGTTTATTCAATATAATATATAAAATCCGGTTTTCTTATAGATATTTTTTTTTTTTATTTTTCAAATAGTGCTATTTGTAAATTTACAGAGCATTAATATTATAAATTAATTGATTTAAAATTTCTGTTTTTTTTTTCTTTTATTAGTTCTAACCATGTTTCAAAAATGGAAGCTAAAAGTTTGAATTTAATTTTTTTAATTAAATACATATTTGGAAAAAAAAATTATCAATCATAAAAATCTTGTCGGCATTAAATAACCCATTGAGGTTGATATGCCGTAAAACAGACCAAACGAAACGAAACCAAAATTTGGTTTCGATCAGTCAATGTGTGGCTATTTTAGAGGATGTGACAGACAAACGGACTAACGGAAGTCACAGAATTTTATACATAGATTAAAAGTAAAAATATCCAGCAATGATTAATATAAAACAAAAGAAATAAAAAGTATTAAGTTAGCAGCTTGATCCTCCCTACTTACTAATTAGATATTCCGTTGTGCTGGAGAACGAGTAAAGTTCACTTATTGTCATCGTGTAAAACACCTTGTCAACACAACAACAGAGCAAAAGTAGGCTCTGGAACCGATAAGTAAATTAAGTTTCGTCATGGTTTATATCATATTATATATTTACATGCTTTGCTTTTATAACTTTCTCAGATAAATATTTTTTTTATATATTAATCGTCATATATTTAAAGTACAGAAAAAATTAAAAATATCTATACATATAACATCGTAGTCTCTGTCTGTTTGTTATCAAACTTCTCCTAAGGTTTTGGAGATAGACCCCCATAACCAGATATATTCTCAAACTACATTACCCAGGGTACTTGGATAAGTATATTTCATTTAGATCAAAGGGGATCTCTGGGGACACAAATACCCCAATGAAAATGTTTTCGCTTTGATTTAAATTAAATTTAAATTTGAACAAAGGAATGACTCCTATCCAAAATATAGAAGGAGAAAGCCAGAAGATGGAGGTCACATCGGCAAGATCAAAATTAGACAATATGGGCGTCAAGTTGAGCAAGAAATCTCAATCAGTGGGTTATAATACATATTTGCTGCGACAGTTCAACTGTCATATCAATGTTGAAATCTGCTCATCAATTCATTCAATCAAGTATTGCATTAAATGTATATCAAAATAGCAGATCATCTATTTTTTTTTAAAAAATTCTGAATTTTGAACAAGGAAATGACTCTATCCAAAATATAAAAGGATTGCTCCTTATCATTTTCTTAAATTTCAAATGAAATCAATTGATTTACAGTCATTGCAATAATATTGAAAGTGGGTAGGTCAGCTGGTAAACATTTGAAAAACACTAAAAATAAAAATCGAACTATTGTTCTCGTTTGAATAAATTCTTTTTTTTTTGGCTTATCAAACCGCTGCAATTATTTTTAAAAAAAAAAATAATTTTAGATTGTAAAATTTATTTTTTTATAGGCAATAATGATTGACTATTTTGTCTGTTAATTAACCCAAAGTTGGGGAGATCCTCCTAAACTCATGCTGTTCCCAAAAAATTTAGGTTAATTGAATATTACGAATAACTTAAAAAAACTCGGCTCTCTGATTTCTTATTACGATTATTATCCATTTCAAAAACCCGCACATCCAATCTTACAGCAATGGTATTCCCATATTGTTTTCGTCTTGATAGACGTTATTATAGACACAACGCTTCGGTTAAGTTCCCTTTGGCCATTATCGGTGGGTATTTGACATTTCAATATTTTTATTATAAGAAACCCTTAAGTGTTATTTGACTCTTAACAAAATAATTGGAATAATGAAAAATTGGCTTAAAAACACCTTTTTTTTTTTAAGAGAGAGAAAACGGCAAATATCAACAAATGGGTATAATCATGACAAATATTTTAACTACATACTTTTCAATCGAAAAAACCTTTGTTTAAAAAGCGTTGATTTTTGAAATAAAAAAATCCAAAAATGGTGAAATATTTAATTTATACATTTTTTTTTCTTGGGAATTTTTAAAAAAAAAAATAAAAAAAAAATAAATAAAAATAAATAAATATAATAAATAAAATAAACATTATTTATTAGTATCTGTCTATTTTCTGAGATTTAATTATTTGTTATTTACATTATTTGGACCATTGTCGATATATTTATTAAAATATTCGGCCTTTGTACTGACATCCATTAAACTAGAACAATTTACTTAATTTATGAGTGAAATAAAATTTTTATATAGTTCGACATTTTTTGAACCAACCTGAAAAAGGTCGGAGCGTACAATAGTTTAAACGTTGTAATCAAATTTTTTTCGATAAAGATGAGGACAATAGTCCGAATAATGTAAATTATACTATTTTATTAGATTGTTTTTTTATAATTTTATTTTTAGAACATTTTAAAATTATATTAGACAAAAAATTTTTGGCAATGCAGTATTTATCATTTACCAATATAAAAAAAAATGAAAACAATTTTTATTCATAAATTTAAAAAATAGTTACTAAATTATTAAAATATTTACTAGTTCTAAAAAAAACCTTGTTATTTACCATTTTATTTTAAAAATTTTTTTTTAATTGGCAATTAACCGATGTTTTGCCAATCATCCAAATAGTTGATAAATAAATATTGTAAATTTTTCAATCTAATAAATAAATAATGTTTATTATTTTTATGTTTTTCCCAAAATAAAAAAAATTCCAAAAAAAATAAAAAATTAAATCTTTTTTATTATATGTTTTCTGAGGTTGTTTGAGTTTTTTTTCCTTAATTTCCTAATTATTCACTAATTTTTTTTATTTACACTATAAATAAAAATTTATTTCTTGCCTCGTTCTTTTTTCATTTTTTATTTTCAATAAATTTGATCTACAAAGTAATCTTTATATAAAATCAAATATCTTTCCATTTTTGGGAGACGCCATGAACATTCTAAATAACAGGTGAAATTAAATTAGGAACATTCACCAAAATACAAACTCTTTACGTTCATTATTTGAACACAAATGTTAATGTCTATGTCCATTTTTTTTTTTTGTTTAATAAATATATTTGTTGATATATATATATATTGTTATGGGACCTTACCCATATATATAATATAATAAAATTTATTCCATATGTAATAAATATAAATCCTCAAAAAACAGGGAAAATTCACCCCTGAAGTCTAAAATTCTTTCCGTCAGAAATATATCAATAGTTTTATTAATTATCTATCTATATAATTAGAGTTAGATTTTCCTGAAACAGAGTCACATTCAGACAATTAATACAAGACATTGGAATAGTGATACTGATCGAGACTACATTGTTCTCCCTACTAAACCTGATTGTTCGTAATATTATATTTTCTACTTTCTTTATATATTCCTTGTTTGTAATATATCTGTTTTATTCCATATAATGTTCGAATTCTTCTTTATTGTTCTTTTTACTATTACCGTGTTACAAGGGAGAATTAATCTGGAATTTACACACACACACAAAAATTCAATTTTATTTTTATATATATATATATATATATATATTATATATATATTATTTAAATTTTTTAAAATTTGTTTTTTTTTTAAAATGAATTCAATCTATGAAAATTTTGTTTTGAGTTGGACCTTCTTCTAAGCAGGAATTTAAATAAAACGTGTTCTAATTTTAATTTACGTTAATATTTATTATAAGGTTTTTTCCAGTTCTAACCATCGCTTTTTAAAACAATATATTTATTTTATACCAAGATGAAGGTTGTTAAAAAAATCTTATCATATTTAATTCCTTTTGAGACTCCGTTTTTTTTGCGAACACATTTTATCCATGTTTGCTTAGAAATCTCTGTTACATTTGAAAAAAAGATTAATTAAAGATTTGAAAGAGAATAACCATACCTTTTGTACTTGGTCTGTCAGCCGTTCATTTTGATGCGTCAGTTCTCGGATCATATTCAAAAATTTCCTTATCAAAACTGCTGTTTTGATCATGTAGCTCCTTTCGAAGTTGGCTTACATCAAGATGAAATGAATTTGAAGGTGTTTTTTCATATCCCTTTATGGATTCCAAAACGTAATCAAAGGCATGTCGTTCTTGCTCTAATTCATTGTCCGGGAAAAAATGGAAACTTGATGTCACATATAAGAGAATTTTATATTTTCTTTATTTTTTTTAAATTAAACCGGCGCTTTAAATCTATCATTTTCAAAAAAGAAAAATACCATATAATATATGCCATCCATAAATTTAAGACTATAACAGCAATTCATTTGTATGGATAATTTATAAGATTCCTTAAAAAAAAATAATAAACATAATTAAGATATTTGATTCATATGACTTCAAATAAAAGGTTATGAAAACTTTGTTTGATCAATTGTGGTTTTAAAAAAAATGCATTTTTGACTTTTTTAGCTTGAGAAAAAATTAATTTTGTTTTATTTTAATGTTAATTTCAAACTTATTATTTATTTGAAATTCCAATATGACTTTTTAAAATTTATTTTCGATAATTTTAGGAATTTTTAATGGACCATTAATTACTTCAAAGAGCTTAAGATTAGCATAACAGGGCTTGATCTAAGAAAAATAATGATATCATCATTTATTATATTTTATCCCCAGACTTCAAATAAAAAGGTTATTAAGATTTTACCATCAATTTTAAAATTTTTTAAAATTCTAAATCTGATTAACAATGTATATTCATATTTAAATAAAAGTTTTTTTGAAAATCAAGTCTGAATTTGAGTATGTTTAAATTCAATTTTCTTTTTTTTAAGAATTATTCATTAATAAATTTTAAACTATGAATTTATGGAAGAAATCAAACAAAAAAAAAATGACATTTTATAATATGATATATATAAATAATTTTTAAAATGAAATGAAGCTACTCTCTAAATTTTTCCAAACATGAAATAATAATTTGATGTTCATTATCAGGATGATGATCCCATGTTTCAATTTAATTAAATTTCAGGTAAAAACCTTATCTCATTAAATTCAATATTATTTTAAAAAATTTTTTTTAATTTGTTTTAATTTTTTAAGTTTTTTTTAGAAAATACCAAAAAATTTAAAAAATGGACCAACGATTTTAAATTTCTGTTCAGATGTTTTTTAAAATTTATTTTTTTTTTTTTGTTTTCTTTTTGATTAAATTTGTTAATTAAAAATTAATTTATCTTCAATTTTTTTTAATATATATATTATATTAGATTAATTTTATATATATTAATATGACATATATATATATATATATATATATATATATATATATATATATTGCATTTGTATTGAATTCTAAATTTTAAATTTAAAACAAACATGCCTGGCCGCATACACAATTTTTGTGATCCTCGTTGAAAACACAACTATACTTAAACATGAAAAACAATAAACAAAAAAAAAATTTTTGAAGCTATATACATAAAACAGTTGAAAAACCTAACCTGAACAAAATAAACTATGAAATCTCCACAAATATTCTTAAATGCCTATAATTGATAACAGAAGCCATTGGTTTATACCAATGGGCTTCCCATACTTAATAATTCTCGTTTTCAATCTCGTGTGGTCATGTGACGTCACGTCATGTTGCTGATTTTTTTTCCATATCTCTCATATATTATAGATTGTCGTTGCTTGAAATTTTCCATGTAAAAAAAAAACAGACTATCATTATTGTTTTGTCCGTGTATTGTTTAATATATTGAAAATGTAATTGTCATCTTTGATAATGGCTTATGTAAGCCAAAAAGCTTAGATAGGATTAAAAATATGTATCAATATTGTGATTTTTCTTTCTTCTTTTTTAATGATAATGTTATTAAACTTATCAGACAATATGAAAGAATTTACATAAAATAAATAGACAAAACTTGTCTATATTATTTAATGAAACATGCATCAATATATATATATATATATATATATATATATATATATATATATATATATATATATATATATATTTTTTATAAATTATAAAATAATTCTAAATGCATTATTTTCATTAAAAATCGACAGACAAGGTTTGGTAAATAAAGTTTTTTAAGACAATTTAATTTTTCTTGTATTTTTCAAATCTTTTTATGGACAAATAAATGTAAGAACTGTCCGATCACTGAATAATTTAGCCTTTCACATACCTTTTTTGCCATTAAGAAGGAATGATTCATTATATAACTCATAAATGTGTTTATTCTGTTTATGTTCAGTTGTTTTATAAATGTTTTTTAATACTAAAATATATGGTAAACAAAACAGGAAAAGAAGTGTGGATTTTAAAATGATCGATTGTTTTATACATGAACAAGTATAAAATGAAAAAGAAGAAAGAACTATAAGAATATATGTATAAGATCTCACAGGATAAGTCTTGTAATATTTTGACTTTTTAAAAAAGAATTGATGTGTCTTCAATTATTTAAAAAAATTCATAACTCACTATCAAATTTCTTTCAAATTCCACAAGAAAATGAAACCACTGGTTTCATTTAAAATATTTTTTAAATAGAAGAAAATCATAAAAAATTAGAAATCTTTTTTTCAAAAGAATCAATTTTTTGTGATCGTTCAATCTGATCTTTTTCCTGTGAAATTTATTTTAATTAAGAATAAATCGTCATTTACTTTAAAATTTATAGAAAAAAATTAATTTCTGAATCACCTGCGGTAAATTTATGTTTTTCTAAAATCAATTTTGAATGCATCATAGTAAACATTTCGCAGTTTGGTATATTTAAACCCAACAGGATAAAAAAATATATTGGTCCTGAATTAAACCTCGGTATCATAAAAACCCCACCATATTGTAAAGTTGCTACATTGCACTCTTTTCTTATAAAAAATAAAATCATGGGTTTTTATCGGATGAACTTTTCCATGATGAATTTTGTGAGGCAAAACTAGACTGAATTGATTGAAATCCTACCGGGATTCAAAATCGAAAACGTCAACAATCTTAATAACATAAGATACGCAGATTTGTCAGTACTTGATAGCAGACACGGAAAGAAACTGTTATTTTTCCTATGAAAAGAAGAGATTTTTGGAGAAAGTGTGAGAAAAAAGGACTAAATGATGAAACTATAAGAAGACAGAATGCATGGTTCATCAGGAAAAAGATGAGCCCAAAAATTTTTTTCATAATTTTAAAAAAACAAGAAGGTGCGGAAGTTTAAATATCTGGGAAGTGTTTTGACTTCAGAATTTTTAGTGAATTTTTTGAGATATCCGTAGACGCATTGGGATATTTATTTGCATTTTAAATTTATTAAAGACAGATCATATTTGGTAACAAAGAAAAGAATACTGAGCTAAAAATATCATTTATTTATATATATAATATTGGACGGTTTTCCTCAAAGATGATGAAGAGACCTATTCAATTAAGATTGGTTCTACAGAAGGATGCTAGGGATATCATAGACCGAAATTTGTTAACGATGAATACTTTAAAATGCAAACAATGGAGGTAATATACTTAACATCAGGAAGAAACAGTTGAAGTTTAATTGGACACGTAATGAGAAAGTGAATGCTTGGAGAATCTGATTTCACAGGTCGAATCTATTAAAAAGATCAAATAGTTCAAATTAAGCATGACATACCTCAACGCTTGAATAAATGAATGACAGAAAATGGTCTGGAGGGGTAGCAAGGAAATAAATAAAATTGAAGCTTTGAATAGAAAATCAGAAATGATCGTTTACGTCCTGAAAGGACACGGCACATAAAAAATTTCTATAAATTGGCATTTAAGATCTATATCATTTTTACAATATTTGACAGCTAATGTTTTTCCTAGAGTAAATAATATGAAAAAGGTTTTGTCATAATGAAAATGGAAGAATAACGTCTATAGACATTTTTTGACGAACAAATTAGTGTATTTATTGAACAACAATCATTAAAAATATCAATATACTTAAAATCTGTTTTTAAAGTTTGTAAATGACAGGAAGGTTTGGAGGAATGATAAGATTGACAAACAACTTTCAGTCTAAAAGTCGCATTGTTTTGACTTTAGTCGAAACAACGGATGACGATGATTACAAAATTTATATAAATAACCCAAATATATATATATATATAAAAACGTCTTAAATATAATAGAAAAAATGTGTTTTAGTATAAAAATTTCGTCCATATACGGACTTTTTAAGATAAAAAAATAAATGAATTTATTGAAACAAAAAGTATCTATAAGATTTAAACAAAATATCGTTAGCAAATTTTTTTAGTTTAGAAACGCTATTGTATATTCATTATAAATTCAAATGATTAATTATGTAAATTTATGCATTATATTATATATTTTCACATATAGAAATATTGTTTGTATTGTTTTTTCAATTTCAAAATATTTCCTTAGATTTCTTGATATATTTTTCTATTAATGTTCGCTTGGGAGAGTAATGTTTCTGTTAGGAAGGGTGATATTGGAGAAAAAAAGTCCATATTTAAAAAAACGCGAAAATGGCCCAGAATTACAATTTTATATTGTCTTTTTTTCTTAATTTATATTACTAATAAAATATCTAATTATCGTGAGAGAAAAATAACTTGAAGGCAATTTTTTGTCTTTTTCTCCAGGTTAATTATTAAAATATATATATATATATATATATATATATATATATATATATATATATATGGAATAAAAATGAAACAAGAAAGAAAAGCCGATGCGTTTTTCAGGATGTGTGAAAAATCTTTTTAACCATTGCCTTCTTATGAAATCATCCTCAAATGTCGAAAAAATCATGTTAAGTCTAAATGGAAGACTCATTCTTTTTATTCATTTTATCTCTTCTAAAGATACACTCCATCATAGAATACATATATATATAATATTTTTATATGCCTTTTAAATTTAATTTGTTGGCAACAAGAACGAATGTATAAAAAAACAAACCGTTGGACCGAAATAAGACTAAAGGTA